GGTTCAGCTGTTGGAGCTCTGAGAACTGTTTAGCTGTGATTGTCTGACAAATCCAATTAGGTCTGAGCTGGTATTTCTTTACAGCAATGCTGACAGTGTGGGATTATACTTAAGATCTATGTAAAGGACAAATAGGATTACTGGGGGAGGGAGAAAAACACCTCTACCTTCTGCTATAGTTGTTTTATAGGCAGATCTCAATGGCATCTCAGGGGGGTCTTCTTCATACTTGTAATATTTGTCGTGGTTTTAATAATGGTGCATTGCACTGCTGACAGATCACAGCCCTGTCCTGTTATATTCATCTTGGGGCATGCAGAGGCTTTGGCTGGGGTAAGAAACTTTGGTGTTGAGCACTCTGCACATAAAACATTGTGGAAGTGGGAACTTGGTATAATGCTGACAAAATAGCTAGGACAAGAAATAACTGGAGTGTAATCTGGTACAGACAGGACTTGTGGAAGCAAAGATGGGCATAGAAGGTTGAATGCATTGACTACACTTGTCATATTCTTGTTTAAGAATGTTTAAGCTTTGGCTTTGATGCTTGTATCTAGGTGTTAGTGTAATTTATTTGACGTCTGCATCTGCATTTTATAAAAGGTATTAAAAATGGATAAAATTCTCAGCAACATGTGGTCCATCTCAGTTCATCTTCTGGAGCAAGGTGTTGTTTGGTACAGGAAATGCACCAAGTCTCTGGACAATGCTGCCTTTGAAGCATTCAATTGTGCAACAGACTCACCACATCCAACTTTGCTCTGCAATGGTGTAATACCATCAAGTATATCCTGAAAGTTCTGAAAATTTCTTGTCATGGTAAGTGAAACAGTCAGGTGTGTAACAGTGCAGTCTCAACAGCATGATGTTGGCAAAGCCTGAAATTCTTTACCTTCTATACTTCTACAAAGTGCTTATGCTTGCTGTATGCTTGGTGTGTACGGGTAGTAGTAATTAAAAATAAAATGAAGAGATGCACCTTTTATACTCTGCTCAGCCACTTTTATTTTTGAGTGCTGTGTGCAGAGGAAGGGAAGTCTTAAGAGATTTGAGGAAGCCAAGAGCAGCTGGGCGTTTTGGAGGGTTGTTGTGGGAGGTTTAGAGAAGAGAAGTTAAATTGATTTGAGGAAAGCAATACAGAGCAGTGTAAGTAACAGCTTGCCCTACATTCTCTTACCAGCACAAACCAAAATTATGGTTATCATGTTGTATCTCTTTAAACACAGATCATAAAGCACAATCTTTAAAGAACACTGAATTTTTCAAGTTAGTTCACTTTGGTAGCAGCGGCAATTTTGAAATACAAGTTTCTGTGATTTGTTTTCCAAAATTGTTCTCTCAAGTATGGAGTCTGCAGAATTAATTTTGACACTTTCGGATTGGGCAGAAATGGGTCACAAACTTGTTTTGCTTAGATAGAAGGAAACATCTGTTCAATTTCAGATTTGTTGAAAGTGGACTTTTTCCTGTGTAAACACCATTCCCTTTATGAACAATGACCTGCTTAATGGGAGTTAGGTTTTGAAAAGAGCTTGCCTTACATGTGTCCCTTATCATTGGAAACTTTCTCTGTGTGGGGAACTGATTTGGGGCACTATTTGTGTTGCAAAGGCTCCATCAATTCCCACCATATATAGTTGTGGGCTACAAACTTGACAAAGCTTTTCCTGTATATTTTTTCAGAGTTGTTTACACTTCTAGTGAATATTGGCTGTATTTCAGGATGTTAGTTGGAAGGGTCATGTAAACACTGTGGGCAAGGCCCAGACATGCACCCATAAGTGGAGAATTTGTAAGATGTTAGTAGATTTAACTTGCTACATTGTCTGGTCAGTCCTCTGCCAGAGAAGGAGTGGTATCTTTGAATAATTTCTCTGCTCTGGTGTTCTTTACATGACTCAAAAATAGCGCCTATGCTGGTTTTCCTTAGGAAAAAGTTTATGTTGTTCTGTTATATTGGGAGGTTCTTCTTACTAGTAAAATAGATGATGAAAAGTGAACATAATTTAGGAATAAAAGGTGTCTTTTTGCTCTATGCAAAATGTGTTTTACAGAATCACCCAGTTCAGGCTGAAGTATTTAGTCTGAGGGGAAAAATCTCAGCATCTCTATATACTTCATTTATATTTACTGTGTATTTCTCCATAAATTATAAAATTCTGGGTTACTGAGGTACTGACAGTCCCAAAACTAGGATGGAAAATATTAGCGTAGGCAGTAAAAATATTTTAAATGGTCTTGGTATCTGGCCATTGTCTGTTTTGCTAAGGGAAGTGGGCAAGACATATTCTTTGAAGTGTTTTACATGCAGATTAGTTGAGATATTGGAGTAAAATCTGAAAAGATCTGTGCAGTCATCTGTGATCTTAGAGTTTATGAATCAAAGCCTTGGCTGTTGCTAAATTTTAGGATGTGTTGCCAAATACGCAGGCTCAAAATGTACTGTTGTGTGCCTGCATTTGTTGATGTAGATGATTAAAAGCTGTTTTTATCAGCTGATTCAAAAGTACATGAATCCTGTAAATGATGGGAGAGAAAGGTTTGTAAGAGGGCAGTGTCTTCTGTCCTGCATGTTCACATAGCATCACTGTGAAACAAGAGTAATAACAATGCCTGCTCTGGATATTTCATTAGTGTTGTCACTGGCAGTACTGTAGGAATATTTAGCAGAATGCATTAGCATTGAGAAATAATTATGACAGGCTTGTCCAAATAGTAGCCTAAGTGTCTGACAGAATGAAATTTATTCTTGTCAAACACTTAGCAGTGCACTTAGAAAATATGTTCTTAAATATATCAGGAAAATCAGGAAACTGTGGTAAGACTTGTGTCTGGATGGGAAAGTATAGTTCTACACTCTCTGTCTCCTTCCCTTGCTGCTGGGATAGATGCTGGATCCAGGACTGGAGAAAATTATAAGCAGTACATTCTCGTCACTTGAGATAGATAAGCATCCGATCAAACAAAACAAATGTTTCAAGTGATTGATTGAGCTGCAGTTGGAAAATGATGCAGTATCTTTCCTTAAGAAAGCCTGTTTATTGCAAGTGTCTGTGTGCTGAATGTGGGAATATTGATCTAGACTATTCCCTAAGGTTAATGTTGTTGTTTTCTTCAGAAGTACACATTTTTCTGGTAAAATAAGACCTTATGAGTGTTCAAACAAAACAAATGTTTCAAGTGATTGATTGAGCTGCAGTTGGAAAATGATGCAGTATCTTTCCTTAAGAAAGCCTGTTTATTGCAAGTGTCTGTGTGCTGAATGTGGGAATATTGATCTAGACTATTCCCTAAGGTTAATGTTGTTGTTTTCTTCAGAAGTACACATTTTTCTGGTAAAATAAGACCTTATGAGTGTTATGGATAG